AAGAACTTATTCTTTGCCATAAATGTGAAATTATTGAACCTACACACAGGAACCTAATGAAAATGCTAAGTTTAGAAGCACATTTCAGACGGCATATAAAGGTTTTTGCATCTGAACTCTTCAAATACAAAGTCTTAAAATGTCAAATGAGAACATAAACTATAAAAGCATGTTAGTGAAATGATACACTGCTGTTAATCTCTACTAGTCTCAGATATTCCATGCATGTTCCCTCTGACTGGAATGGTGCACATTTCACATTATTGGGAAATAATGTGAACGTTTCATTACATTTTTTTTTGCTGTAATTTTAGCTCTTATGTCAGCATGTATGTTAGCCAATTTGTACATTTTATATAACACAACTAATTTCACACAGTTATGTATTTATTAGTTTGTAAACCTTAAGATAACCACTGTTAGATAAATGAATTGTAACGCAAGCACACAAGTGAAATATTGAAGCTTCTTTCCTTACCTGTTGTGAACTTCTTACTGTGACAGCTGTTTTTCAGTTTATTATTATAATAAACACACTGCTAATATTGTCGAGGTTATTAGCATAAGGACCGGCTTGAAATTCAGTGAGCTCAGGCATGAGCATCTTGTTTTTAAGCCTCTTGAACCATTAAAAACATGTCAGAAACACAACACGAGGTTTTAGTAATTAGTATAGAAGTGTTATTGCTTATGACACTTGACTAGCACATTCAACACAGGTCATGCCGTCAAAGCAAGAGGCACTGGCATACTTTAAGAGTCTGAGTTTACAAAATCTACTTTTTTTATTACTAGAAATTGTCAGTAAGAAATATAATATATTAGTCATTCTGTCTGGAAATATGTGTTGTGTTTATGTATTACAAAATAGTGTATATACATTAGATGCGTCTATATTCAATAATACTGTACATTGTGATCATGAACATACATGGTGTTGTTATTGTAGGAATTTTAAACTATTAAAATGTCAGTTTGTTTTATTTCGTTCATAATAATTATATCGTCTTAAATGACCTTCGAGAAATTTACTGAACATGTTCTGATTCTTTATTGGCCTGCTGTTTGTTAAGTCTTTACAACAAGGCTCCATTTGTGAACATGAGTTTTTAATGTTGACAATGAAAATTAATTGTAAAGCATTGATCTGATCAAATTGATTGATTAAAATCAAATCTGAAACTTCATTAATTAATGTGTTAGCCTACTTTTAAGCCAAGCTCATTCTGAATATGTACCCCTATATACAATTCTGGAGAGAGACAAATAACTCTCAGGATGTACGTTTTTTGAAATTTTTATTTTCAAGAATCCATTAGAGGTCGCTTTATGCTTTTTGAGATCTGAATTTTATCTTGCGAGTGCCATTTGCGCCTGATGTTCTCGTGTAAATCCACCAGAGGCCGCTGCCGACTGACTGGCTGACTAACACTTCTCTTTCCCTAAACCCAACCAATAGTGTTTTCAAAGGCACCGATTGTCCAGCACCCATCCACTTCCCTAAACCAAACTGACAGTGTTGTCAAAAGCAATCCAGAAAAAGCCCACCTGGTACCTTAATTTTTACCAAATTTTCAGATTTTACCACATTCTCACCATGTTATTTGATTGTCATTTTACTTTTTTGGATTTTGTTTTTGTCATACCTGCTTTCTGTTTTTGTCATACCTGTTTTGGCATACCTGGTTGTCATACCTGCCAGATTTAAAATCCGTCATCAGAGTTAACTCCATCCCATGTCACAAGTCTGCTGATATATATGATGATCCACTGGTAACAGCAGAAAAGCTGTCCATACGGACGTAAGTGGTCAGTTGGTGCGTGTCAAAAGGAACGGCATCACACCGCCCCAAACCATTCATTTTAAAGACTGAATGCAGCTGTACATACTTCTGGCTATATAATTCAATCTCCAGAAATGTGAGATTACGTTTTTACAATGAGCCCATGTTGCCTACTCCAGTAACATTTGTCACTATTTTAGCTTGATCTCATGGGGAAACTTAACTATTTCATGTTTTGTCAGTTTTGTGGCTAATTTGTACATACAAAAATGTAAGATTTTAAAAGAAGGCATGGCACTAAACCCCAGCCTTAAACTCAATCATCTTTCAATATCAATATAGTGGTATTCAACAAAAAATAAATAAATAAATAAAGTGAAACCAATAGTCAGAGCATTGAGGATCCATGTATAGATTTATTTGAACAAAAGGCAAATAGACAGGTGGAGGTTGTTGCCAGGCTGCTATTGACCTTAACGGGCCATGAAACCCCCTTGTTTCAGTAGGGAAAAAGTCAAGAAAGTGGGTGTATCCAACTCTGTTCAGGGGGGAGTGTCAAAGGAGCAAAAGAGGGATGATATGGGACAGTCGATTTGGGCCCGCGCTGTGTTAAGAGTCAAAACACACACACACACACACACACACACACACAAACACACACACACACACACACACACACACACACACACACACACACACACACACACACACACACATTTGTTTTTGTGAAAAGTGGGGACATTACATAGTTTTCCATTCATTTTATACTGTCCAAACCGTATATTATATTGCCGTCACCCCACCCAACCTCTAAACCAAACCATCACAGGAGACTGTGTGCAGCTTTACTCTCTGATTAAACTCATTCTGTAGGATTTATAAGCATTTTGAAAAATAAGGACGTCACCAATGTCCTCATATTTCACCTCCTTTTTGTAATACCTGTGTCATACCTATGTCATTATACAGATTTGTGTCCTGATATGTCACAAAAACACGTACACACACACACACAGGGGAGAAAGTGACTGTGTTAACTTGGACATAAGTAATCGAATTATTTGACTAATTATTAAATGGTGGACTTTTGGCTCTTTCATTCAGGAATTTCATTCATGCCCCTCGTGACAAACGAGATGTTTGATTCAACGAATTGCTCTAAGCGTGTATTTTTTTCATGCAGTGTTTGTTACAGCATGGCGAATGAGAGAAAAAGAAACCCTTCCGCATTTCCCGGAATCTTAGATGCATCCGGCAGGTAGCGTCAGAAAGCCGTGTGTGTTATTCCTGTCACAAAATGCGGTGAAAATCCTACATGACAGTAATAGTTTGGTTGAGGTGCTAACATGTTTACACGGTGTAAGAGTTAGTTCAATATGAACTAACTTTGCCATCTAAATAAACAAAAACCACTGGTTGCTCACTAACCAAATCTGTAGAGACGGGACAATCAACACCAACTAGAGCGGCATCTTTATTAAGAGACGAGCAGCAAATCCAGATTTTACCATATACAGATGAGTAAAGCTCTTGGGTAAACAATTTTCCTTAAACACGCATTTTTGTTGTGTGTCGCGTGCACTGTAATGCACACATGATTCCAGCTGCGCTCTCAAAGAGAGAAAAAGAAAACAAAACCTTCCCTGCAGCAAATTATAAAAGCAACACTGCATGCTAATTAATGCAGCACACTTGAAGACATATTACGGTACTCCCAGGTACAGGCGTCCAGTCTGTAATACATGCTAATATCTCATGGCCGTGACGCAGTTTAAAAAATTTGATTCAAACCGGAAGTACGAATTTGCTCGAAATAACACAAAAACAACCAATGTTCACTTTTTAATGAAATATATGTGTCCTAATAGTGTTTTTAGCAGTGTGGGACACATATACGACTGTCAACGGCTCAAAAAATATGTTTTGGTGTTTCCCGACACTATAAATGAGTAACAGTCTGTCTAATATTGTTTGTACAGCACAGATGAATTTGTGACAAAAATGTACACATTGAAATACCCAACACAATCTCACGGCAATTTGTAAATTTTTGATTTAGTGGCTAATTCATATGAATTGGTATGATCTCATTCATACAATTTAGGATGATTTACTCATCCCACAATGACGGTTGGGTTTAGGGGTGGGGTTTGGTGCCACGTCTCCTTTTTAAAATCATACATATTTGTAGCCACTAAACTGTTAAAAGGTAAAATAGTTGCGTTTCCTCGTGAGATCAGGCTGGAAATACTGCAGACATAATATCTCTCTGTTTTGGTTTTAAATCCGTTCACATGTCAAAAGAACTAAGATGATGTTGATTCTGGTTTTATTACTGTCTTCGTCACCATTTATAAAAGGAGATTCTTCATTTTTCCAACTGGTCACAAATTATTTCACGAAATATAGGTGCTTTTTACCATCATTAACTCTTTTAAAAAATGTTGAAGAAAAGACAAGTGAATGTATAGTTCAAATACATTTAATAAAGTTGTACACATCTGTTTTACAAGTTCACGTATAAGTCTATGCTCTCTTTATACTTAAAAAAGAGCTTAACATCCAAAAAAAAAATCATATTTAACATATACATTAAAGTATTTTAAATATGTTTGTAAATCACAAGGTCAATCCTAAAACAGGACCGTAACATAACTGCAGTGTAATATAATTTATTTCAAGACATTTAAAAAAAAAAAGTTTTACTTAAAAGCTAACAAATGGAAGGTTCACTGTTATCTCAGCTTACAGATGAAAAAAACAAACTTTTGTTAATATAATTTTTCTAATATTCTCATTTAGTAATCAGTATTGTGGTTTATTTTTTATTAATATTTTGTTTGTAATTATAATTATTATTTTAATCATTGTTTGAATGAAATTATTGATCCAGTCAGTTCCTACATCTGTCTGTTCATACAATTGGGCACAGTGCTTAAAACATCTCTATCTTTTCAACTTTTACACTTCAACTTTAAATAAAGTGAAATAATATGTCTTATCTTCCATTAGAAGATTTTAATTCACCCTAAAAAATGCTGGGGTTTGATAAAATGTGACCACTTAATATATATACAGTATACAGTTAACGTCAATATATATATATATATATATATATATATAACTAATCTCTAATAACTGATTTATTTTCTCTTTGCCATGATGACAGTAAATAATATTTTACTAGATTTTTTTAAGACACTTCTATACAGTTTAAAATGACATTTAAAGGCTTAACTAGGTTAATTACTAAGCAGGTTAGGGCAATTAGGTAAGTTAGTGTATAACAATGGTTTGTTCTGTAGACTATCAAAAATATCTTAAAGTGGCCAATACTTTTGACCTTAAAAACTGTTTTTATTCTAGCTTAAATAAAACAAACAAGACTTTCTCCTGAAGAAAAAATATTAGACATAATGTCAAAATGTTCTTGCTCTGTTAAACATCATTTGGAAAATGTTTAAAAGAGAAAAAAATCAAAGGGGGTGCTAATAATTCTAACTTTAACTGTATTTGCATTTATTTTACTGTATGCCTAATCTGAAAGCTGAAAGAATTATTTCTTCAGCTTTAAACACCATCTAATCAAGATATTATATGGAATCTGAGGGTATGAAAAAAAAAGAAAAAAATGGAATCAAAGTTGTTAAAAATAAACTTTCATCAATACATGTTACTTTTAAAAAATTACATTGTTATATATTTACAGTAAGGAATTCACAAAATGTTTTCCTGGAGCTGGATCTTTACATAAAATATTATCGATTTTAGCATTTAAAAAATCTGAAATTTTAACTTGTAGGCCTATAGTTTATTTTTAGCTTCAACACAAGGTTTTCAAAAAATATATATAATAACAATAAACAAAGATTTTTAAATAATAATAATAATAATAAAATAATAATATCCCAACAGTTAGTTTTGTCCATATTGTACCAAATCCCAGCATTTTTAGAGTGTCGTGTCAATGTCAAGTGCTTTATTTTTATTGAAGCATTTGATAAATGCTTTCTGTTTGTGTTTATAATACACAATAGTTATTTAATAAAAATAAAAACAGTTTGGCTAAACAGTTTCTCCTCTTTAAAGGAGGAAACACAAATGTCCTTCTCACATTCATTTATACTGTACATCTACAGTACTGTACAGCAATACAAGGCTTGATTCTTCTGGGTAATGGCCACTAGGTGGAGTCATCAGAGCCGCCGGTGTCCTTGATTGAGAAAAGAATAAATGAAAAAAATCATGACTTTACGTACATACATATATAGTTATGTGACCCTATAGAGCACAAAACCAGTTGCACTGGTATTTTAGCAAAATTATCAGTTTGGAAAAAAGAAAAATCTTTAGAATATTATGTTGGGTAAAATTACTTTTAAAAGTAATATATCACAACCTTAAGTCACTTTAAGTGTTAGTGAAATGTACTTTTAGGGAAAATAATTTGAAAGTATGTGTTGTTGTTGTTATTATATATATATATATATATATATATATATATATATATATATATATATATATATATATATATATATATATATATTGTAATATATTACTTTTAAAAATAACTGTACCCAACATTTAATAATACACTGTTAAAATGCCAGTAAATTAAAAGTTTTTCATATTTTGTGATTCTTTATTATTATTATTTATTTATTTATTTATTTATTTATGTTTTTTTACGCCTTTAATTGCATTGTGGGACGTTGATCTTTCCTGCAACATTTTTTTTTTTTTTTTAATGTTGAAAGGTTGTAAAAAGTAAATTTTATAAACATATTTTATAGTTTGATGTGATATATTGTCTGGCTTTGTGTTGTAAATTATGTTACAAAACCCTGGTAATAAAATGCCAGCACTGTAAAAAAAAACTGAAAAAAAAAAACAAAACAAAAAATTTAATAAAAAATGTACATTTTAAGGTAACAAACTTCAGGACATTTTTGAGTTACTCAACTTAAATCAAGTCACGTGCAGTAATTGGGTTGACAGTTGAGTCAGTTGAAGTTTGTTGCCTTAAAATTGAGCTTATTTTATAGACTTAATTCTATATGTTATTTAATAAACAAAATATTTCTTCAAACTACTGCAATTTTCAACACCAAAAGTTGACAGAGGAGAGATCAACATCCCATAATACAATTCATAAATGTAAATAAATTAAAAATCCCTATAAATAACAAAACACAGAAGCTGTTAATTAACAGATATCTTTACAGTGCAATATTACAACTCATTTTTTATATATGCTGTAGATAGATGTACTGAAGTTGAAAAAAAAAAAGAATTAAGTTATCTTTGCCAAATATAAAAATCAATGGAAAGCTTGTTTAATTATCTTTCAAGTGATGTATAAATCTCGCATTTAAGAAAACTGACGCTTGTGACTGGTTTTGTGGTCACACATATAACATATATCTGTGCTTTTCAAACACATACCATCGGCTCAAGAGGTCTGAAGGCTGCTGCGTATTTCTGATATGCTGCAATTATGCAATCTCTCCTGCACAACAGAAACAAAAGAAAAACACAAGGATTGAAAAAAAACCAAAACATGTATTAGCAAGCCTGTAATACATCACTGTCCAGCATCACTCACTTGCATGAGACTCCTCCACCTGGTGGAAGGCCGGGAATGGGTTCAGATGCCAGAAATTTCATCACATACAGCAGATCAGGCTCCTCGTCTTTTGATCTGATCACGTGAATAATCTCTGAGTAACGACAGAGAAAATACACTGTTTGAGAAGGATGTTCACACTAATAGACACCTAAAAACAAATGTTCTGAGTTGTGAGGCCACAGAACTATTTTTAAAGTGTAGAATGTACTTTTCACCACTAGAGAGCGCTTTTACAACAAAGGCGCATTTCAGTTTGATGACGCTATGACTGAGAGTAAATAATGTTGTAAATAACTATAGCCATAATGCTATTCTGAATGTGCAGCGTTATAACAAACAAAACATAATAAAAAAAAAACATAAAACAAACAACATTAAAAACATTTGGTGTTTCACTGTTTTTATAAAACAAATCCAGAAATTGAGGGTGTGATGTTGTTATGCCATACAGTCATGAACACTGTAACACAATGCTGGGTTTCAAACAATTCCTACACGTTGTCCCTATACAATTAAGTTAACTTATGTTATATTTACAAATGCATGTGGATTAAACATAAAACTATTAAGTTGCTTAAGCTTAAGCTGATTTAAGCTTCTTTTTTTTTTCAGCAGCGAAGTGACCAAAAATGCAGGGTTCCTTTAACCTATTAGTTTTTTACAAATTGATTGAACATAAAACAAACATTAATTGTCCCAAAATCTTAGAAATTGTATTGTTTTAGTTGATTTTAAGTTTGAACAAACAGCAAAGGTGTTTTTTGAGTGTACACTAAAAAAGTTACACACAATACCTAAATGCTGTCCAAACACAAATCAAATAAGCTAACTTGGCCGTTTTTATAAATTTAAGGGGATTGAACAAAAAACAATTAAGTTGTCCCCAAAACATGTGGAAGGAATTGTGTCGCTTCAACTCAATTTAAATAACAAGCTTAAACAAGCAGTAAAAAGTCATGCAATTGTAAAAAATGCAGGCTTCCACACAAGTCATTCATGCTGTCCAAACACAAATCAATTACGTTACTTTTAACAAATTTATGTGGATTGAACATAAAAAAAATTAAGCTGTCCCAATGAAATCTCAAGAATTGTGTAGTTTCAGCTCATTTTAAATAAGTAGTTTGTAAAAGCAAAAATATATATATTTTTTGAGTGTATTTATACTTATTTCTCTGGATTTGAACATTCTTTGAAACAATTTGGATAATGTAAGTACATAAGTAAGCAAAATATTTAATGGTCTGAAAAAAACCTTGACGAACCTTTTATGGAATGTAAAGGCTCATGGAACCACTATACCTTTAAAAATAAAACTTCCTTTATGTTGATCAATGGTTCCATAAGGAAACTTTGACATACACGGACACTTTTCCATTCCACAAAAGGTTATTTTTAGAATAAAAGTGTTGTTTATTGAAGTTTTATTTTTAAGTATGTAATGTCAATAAGACGTTTTAACGGCATGTACAGTTGAAGTCCGAATTATTAGCCCCCCTTTAAATTTTTTTTCCCTTTTTTTAATATTTCACAAACGATGTTTAACAGAGCAAGGGAATTTTCACTGTATGTCTGATAATGTTTTTTTTTTTCCTAGAGAAAGTCTTATTTGTTTCATTTTAGTTACAATAAAAGCAGTTTTTATTTTTAAAATCCATTTTAAGGTTAAAACTATTAGCCCCTTTAAGCCTTTTTTTAAATAGTCCACAAAACAAACCATTGTTATAAAACAACTTGCCTAATTACCCTAACCTGCCTAGTTAACCTAATTAACTAGTTAAGCCTTTAAATGTCACTTTAAGCTGTACAGAAGTGTCTTAAAAAATAGTAAAATATTATTTACTGTCATCATGGCAAAGATAAAACAAATCAGGTATTAAAAATGAGTTATTAAAACTATTATGTTTAGAAATGTGCTGAGAAAATCTTCTTTCCGTTAAACAGAAATTGGGGAAAAAATAAATAAGGGGGATAATAATACTGACTTCAACTATGCAGTGTACATACATTTGAACTTACCCCAGAGCGCTTTTTGTTTTGTTTTGTTTTTTTCTGAAGTATGCAGTGTACATCCTTTAATATAGATTGAACAGTTACCTGCTACTTTCTGCTCGATGAGCTGCTCGAGCTCGGCCTCCTGCTGCAGCGCTTCTTGCGTTACCTTAGGAGCGCCATCAAAACAGATGATGATAATGGTCATGTTGTCTAAACTTCCCTGCAAGATGACAAGGACACTTTAAATCCTGATGCTTTTTGATCAAAACATAATACACAAATACAAGCATACAAGCATATAGAGTTAAAGGCAACATCTTCAGTGAAATTGTAGTAATTTTTCAAATATTTCCCAAGTTCTGATTAATGAGCAATAATATTGTCAAAGTATTTACTTTAATATATATTTTTAGTCATGTTTCTTTTAATTTGGTGGGAATAAAAGCAGTTTTATTATTTTAAAAACAATTTTAAGGTCAATATTATTAATCCCCCTAAGAATATTATTATTATTTTTTTTTGATTGACTACAGAGCAAATCACTGTTGTCCGATGACTTGCCAAATTAGCCTGATTTGCTAGCTATTCTAATTGTTTTTAAAATATAAAAAAATAATAATTCCCAAATTTACATTTTTGTGTATTTTACAGTTGTTCAATTTAGCTTTGGTGAGCACAAGTGATTCTTTATATCAATAAAAATACTTTTGACCAATATAAATAAATGAACAAATACATAAATACAGAATAGAACCAATACTAAAAATATACTGTATACTACAGTTATGTACAATATGGTGTATACTTAACATCTATACTGCTTTTATTCCAGCTAACCAAACGATAAAATGTATACAGTTGCTATTGTAACACAATACTATAGTATTATAAACAAATCACCCAAACACTGTCGTGTTCTACTATAGAGTATATTGTACTACAATACACCACAGTTTACTGTAGTAAAAACTAAAGTATACTACAGTATTTATTACACTTAATCAGGTCATTTTACCCCTACTAAAGTATGCTAGGAGCATTCACTAACACAGAGCTGTAAATACCAGTATAATACATTTTACTATAATAGCGTTTAAATCGTTGATTAATTACTATTGTTTTTTTTTTCATGTGTAAATCATCATGCCTTCAAAATGCTGTAACACACTGTAGGAGAAGCTGAATCGAGTCAGTGTGCTGACAGACAGGTAAAGGCAGTTGCACAGTCAAGTCTGAATCTCTCTAATCTGATTGTCTTCCTGGTAATCAGTCTATTTACAGAGGCGCATCTTCATAGAATGGGTCAAGCTGATGTTATTATGCGCTCTGTAATCTTCCTCATCTCAGCATGTAGCGGGGAAATCTCGTATTATGTAATATGACATAATCCACGTGCCTGATCGTTTTAAATAACAAGGTAGACCCAAAAGAAACAAATTAGTATACTAAATTAGTATCAACCTAACTGACTTGCTGATTCAGTGACAGACTCATCTAGCATCAAATAAAAACATTATATATGTAATAATTCTTAAAATGAAAATGATTTGTTTTATATCCACTGTTCAGATTCACAAAGTCAGATTTTTTATTATTTGTTTTACTACTGGCATTTATTCAAGTTCACTTCAAAGTCTGTCTCATCAAAAAGTAAATAAATAAATAAATAAAAAATAAAAATACTTTAGCTAAAAGTGAAACTTTAAAGTGTAGTAAACAAACAATAACAGTTTTGTACACCATCAAGTGTTATTTTTAGTATCATTTAAATACTGTACTAATATATATTAGTAATATAGGCATTTGTATATTTTAGTTTATTTTGTGATTGTATTATATGAATTTTTCAAGCATTTATACTATGCCAATTTATCTTTATTTTTGTTTTGTATTACATTTTACTATGATAACTTAATTCAAATGTATTTATTAACTCATGAAGAGCCTTATTTCTTTGTTATTTTAAGTTAAGTTTAGGCCTATTTTAGTTACCAAAATTGTTTTATCCATCCATCCATCCATCCATCCATTTATTTATAGTTTGTTTGTTTGTTTTAATTTTACTTCAGAATGTTATATCTACAAAGATATGCATAACATGCTTAGAATTTATATCATATTTAGCTTACCGCATGAATATTTTACATAGTATTTTATTTGATAACTTTCCATACAAATATCTGATATTTGTGCATGAATACATAGCCTATATCTATTATTACTACTATTTACTATGTTTAATATGTTGTGTGTCAGTGAGTGTTTAATGTAAAGATTATAAATGCTTTGGCAATACATTTGTAACATTTGTTTTGCCAAAATGCATTTTAAATTTGAATCTGAATTTGAATCAGTGGGTTCTTAGAATCCGCGGACGTTCGATATGCCACTAATAGAACCGCCATCTCTCAGAAGCAGGTGAAAAACTCCAACCTGATCTCACGAGAAAGCGTAAGTATTTTACGTTTTGTGAGTTTAGTGGCTAATTTGTACGAATTCGTACGAGTTTAGTCGTAAAAAAAATGTATGATTTCAAAAAGGAGGCGTGGCACTTAACCCCACCCCTAAACCCAACCGTCATTGGGGGATGAGCAAATCGTACTAAATTGTACAAATTAGCCACTAAATCAAAAAGATAAGAATTGCCGAGAGATTGTGTTGGAAAAAACTCACACTCGCGCTCACCGTACCGCGCTTCACATCGCATTATAGGAAGGAAAAACGGCACGCGACAGAAGACTGGATCGGGCAGACGGGTTCCAAGTATCGTTATGTGGCCTATTTGAATTTTAACTAACTCACGAAAGTTTAAAAGCAACAGATGATTAAGTAAGCAACTCAGCAACTCTTCCTTTATTTTGTTATCATGTTGTGGTGCTGCATTTGGCTTCTAATCAGGGACCTGTGTAATTTGCTTAACATTACAGTACCATTTATTTAAATTTTTTTATAATATTATTTACATCTTTCGTTTAGCTTAGCAAATAGCCTAGCATGTGTTGGATGTTTTGGATGCTCCATTGCAAAAGTCAAAAGTACAGTACTTTTAAAAAAATCTGTAACGCTACACTCTTAAGCAGGTCGCACACCAGAAGCGCAGCTCGGCGCGGCTACACGGCGCGCACATGACAGTTTAAAGTATCACACACCAGACGCGCACATTCAAATGATATTTAACATGAAACTAATCAGATGGCGCTCTGTGGCGCGGCTGAAAAATGAACTGCGTCCTGAGGCGTGGCCGGGCGCTGCCGACAGCCGCCAACTTGCGGTGCCAGTGTGTGTATCCTGATAGAAACTTATGTTTAGAATTCTAAAATGCATGGTGCTGTGTGGCGCTGCGTGGCACGCCGCCGAGCGGCACTTTTGGTGTGCGACCTGCTTTACTGTTATTAATTACTTTAACCTTTGTATTCTGTTATTATTTGCTGACTTCCAGCAATGATTGAGACAATCTGACACTGATAGATTTCAGTGCATTTTACTAAAAACCACAGAATGAAAAACAATAAAGAATTAGGTTCTAGGTTCTAATAGAATTAGATTCATTTTTTTATGGAAACACCGTAGCAAAAAAAAAAAAAATTTAACATGAATGACACTTTTTAAAAACACTTCTGTATAGTAGCCATTTTAAAAACAAAGGGTGCATATAATGCAAGCAAACGACTACCAGCTGCTTGGTAGTCACTGTATAAGACATATAATTTTACATATTTGTATTTTAATATTTTAAATCCAATTTTTAACTTGTTTGCGATGTGCAATATCAGATTTCTATGTGAGTTTGGTTATATGCTAACATTTGTTTTTTTATATATATATTAAGCCAATGAAAACTTATTTTTTAGTTTTGACATAAAATGTTTACATTGCTTCCTAAGACTGTTATATTGAATGACTGTGAAGAGAAAGAAATCTCTTATGTTTAATTAAAATATCTTCATTTGTACTCCAGTATGTGTAAAAGTAAATTATTCTTATCTTTTTTGAGTGAACTAAGCAAATTATAGTGTCTCCCAATGTGACTTTTTTACATGTTGTTTTTGTAAAAGTAGACAGCACATTCTGTCAAAAATTTATGTTTTTCATATCAAAAGAACTGTTAAAATGAACAATTTTTTCTTGATTTAGGCCTACTCACCCTTAGCCCATCCAAGATGTTGTTTACCTTTTTCTTCAGCAGAACATTTAAGAAACCCTTTACTTTTTTGAAAATAGGCTAATTTTACAAATCCCCAAAAGTTAAACAGATGTGTTTTACCATTCTTTAATAAATTTTGCCAATTTCTCGATCTGGCGGATGCACTTTTAGCTTAGCTTAGCTTAGCTTAGCTTAGCTTAGCTTAGATTATTGAATCTGATTGGTCCATTTGTAAAGAACTCAAAACAAGATTCAACAATTTCCTACTTAAACCTGGGTTATACTTCTGCATCAAGTGATCAGCGTGACCGACGGCGCATGCGATGCGCGTAGCCGTGCGTTTATACTTCTGTGCGCTGTTGGTATTTGCAGAACAAAAACACTTCAGAAACACCAGCTGACAGTAGGTGTTTATGTTCCTCTGTGTTGAATTTCTTCACTAGTTTTTTATTTTATTTTATGTACAAAATCGCTCATATTAAGACGGGAATCGGCGGACGTGCAACAACTTTAATCATAAGGTAAACACAAAATGTCAGTCTCCATCTGAAGCTCCTTCACGAGACTCCACACTTGTAAACATTCGATCCATCAGGCTCGCAGGGCTCACACTCGTCATCTCTACCAGGCCAACAAATCAAAAAACTTGCGCTACGCATCGTGACGTCGTGTAGTTACATTTTTTGAGACCTGCGCATAAGCGCATGCATAGGCTGGCCAGAGCATACACGTGCGCTTGATTCAGAAGTATAAATAAGCCTTTAGAACAGGGGTCACCAACCTTTATGAAACTGAGAGCTACTTCTTGGGTACCGATCAATGTGGAGGGCTACCAGTTTGATAAACACTTCTCAAATAACAAATTTCAACAATGATTTAACAGGGTAAGAAATACCCTGTATTTAATGTATCAATGTGCAACACTTTATTTTTATAAATCTCTGCAAATATTAACATTTTTTAAATGATTACTTCTATATTAGATGGAGCTTACTGGTAAGTGGCGCTATGGTGAGCTATTTTTAGAACAGGTCTGCGGGCAACACATGTGATCCTCGCGGGCTACCTGGTGCCCGTGGGCACCATGTTGGTGACCCCTGCTTTAGAACATTGTGAACTAAGACTGGCGGAAAATATTTTCTAGGTTGATATGGCTGGGAACTATACTCTCATTTTTGCGTAATGATCAAGGATCTTTGCTGCAGTACCATGACTGCATCAGGTACAATTACAAAGGAAAATAATAACTTTTTTATTTTATGAATGCTAAGAGTCTAATCCGATTTTATAAATTATGCTAAGCTAAGCTTAAAGTGCTCCTGCCAGACCAAGAGATTGGCTGAATGGATTCAGAAATGTTAAAACTCAACTGTTTAACTCTAGGGGAGTTGTAAAATTAGTCAATTTTCAACAACAACAACAACAAGGAGGATTGAACTCCTTGGTAAAGTCAGACTGTAAGAGTCACTTTACACCATTGATAACACCTCAATATCATCAAGAGACATGCATTAATTTAGTTTGCCCTGTATATGATTTTTGACTCTCAAAGCGCTGGTAGTCATTCAGTTGCATTTGTGTTTCTCTAAGAACCACAATTTCAGCTAAAAAAAACTTCCTTAAAGTTCTACTGAAGTGAAAAAAATAATCCCGGATATTTACAGTAGGTGAGAGTTCAAAGTGGCTATTACCGCCGGGGCATATACCGCCGCCGTTTGAAATAGCTGCCGCTCTGTTTTTAATGTATGACCGCAGTTTGTGAATAAGCCGCCAGGGGGCACAAAGGGAAGGAATGCAAATGGACAGAAATAGCCTATACAGCAGCTTTAAATATGCAACTGTGCTTGTAAATGAGATTTAACAATAAGTCAAAGCATTATAAATCCTTCATTAATCATTTAAAATTTGTTAACACGCTTTATTGTTATTGTAAACTTGTTAAGTGCAAAGAGGACCTTTGTCGGACCTTTTCATGTTGTCCCTTTAAGCCCTGCACAGTTAATCCATTCCTAGATTGTCCTCAGAAGAGCTCTTCACCGGGTACCTTAATAAAGATTAATACCTGTTCACCCTCAGGCCAGTACAGTCAGCCAATCTGATTGGCACATTTAAAAATGGCCACAGACCAAACAAATGGCATCCTCTAATGCGCTGTTACCAACCTTGTAGAGGCAAAGGTCGATGACCTGTGAGCAGATCTCCCTCAGATCATCGCAGACATGCAGACGGTTGCGCACAAAAGCACATAGATCCTCATTCCCAATGGCGTCCCAAACACCATCACATGCCACCACTAGAAACTCGTCTTCTGGGCTACGCTCCAGTTCGTACACCTCAGGCTCAGGAGACACAAGCTGCTCGGTCTGAGCCCTCCATTCCACCTCCTTAAAGTCGAAATCACCAAGTGCTCTGGACACGGCCAACGACCCATTGATGCGCTGCAGGGTGACGGAGCCGCCAGCATTCTGAATGCGCTCCTTCTCACGTGGGTTGCAGGGTTTGTGGTCCTCTGTGTAGAAGACAACATGGCCGTCGCGGCAGAGGAAGGTCCGCGAGTCTCCGCAGTTGATGAAGTAGAAGTTTCGTGGAGAGATCATGACAGAGGCGGCTGTGGATCCACTGTGGTCCCAGCTTTCATTACGGGACAGGGTGTGCATGTGGCGGTCGATGGCGAGGAAGCCTTCTCGGATGCCATCTTTGACCTGTTCGACATCCTCTTCCACCGTCACACAACCTAATTAAACACACATGAACAGGGTCAAGAGTGCTTATATCTGGGCAGGTGACCTGCCAATTGCCATACTTGAGAAAAGCTTGTTCCCAATCAGAAAGATTTGTCACATTTGTGTCACTGAGGATTAAGTCAATTTGGGCGTCTTCCAAAAATATAAAGGGAGGTAATGTTGCATCCAATGTTGAGGCAATTATTGAGGCTGAGTATTGCAATAAGAAACACGGCCTGACACAAAATAAGATTTTTTTAACTTAAACATTGTGAAGAACATTGATTTGTTGCACATATCAACTTCCATAGTAGGAAAAAATACTATGGAAGTCAATGAGTTCCACCCACCAACTTTTTTCAGAATATCTTCTTTTATGTTCAACAAGAGAAAGAAACTCACGTTTTTTGAACAAGTGAAAGGTGAGTAAACACGCCTTTTAGCCAGGGGGGTTCGGGTGGTTGCCAAGACCCACCTCACACTGACAAACTTCCAGAATTTGTCGCATTAATGAGCCTATTTTGTCCTATAAATTTGTCCTATTATAAAGCCATCATAAATTGTGAAAATAAACCATCAAAAAGACTTTAAGGGCAAGAGGAATCCTCTGTTGGGTGTCGCTTTGATGTGACTTCAGCTAATCAGTTCGATCAATTCTTAAAATTATTTTCTTGAGTCCAACATTGTGCAAGAAAATATACAATCTGACGCAAGAGAAGTGATCTTTCGCTACTGACCAACTGTATTGTTAAATAGAGAAAACATTTTACAAGTAACTTTTATTTAAATTATTGGTCTATTCTTGAAACAAACTAAAAAAAAAAAGATAAATATCGATTACGTTTTTACTTAAGTAAAAGCATATAATGCAGATGTAGTCACTTTTTTAGGTCACTGTTACAGTTATTTGTACTTCACCTTGTCCTTACACTTTAACCTTTAAACTGTACACCTTTAAGCATAATACTTAACTACATGTTCTTACTACATGGGTAAGGGTACTACACAGGGTAATGATGAGGGATATGGTTATTTGCATGTAATTATGTATAATTTGTTATTATTATAATAGTATATGATGTGTAGCATGAACACCAGAAAGTATAGCTAAGCTATCTCAAAACAATATGTATATCCCTTTGACTGCCGTTCTACCAAAAGGCATGTTTTACTGTTTTAAATAATGACTATTAAAGTAATTTCAAGAATGACTGAAATCAAAAGATGGATAAGTTGGCGGTTCATTCCGCTGTGGGGACCCCAGATAAATAAAGGGACTAAGCTGAAAAAAATGAACGAATTGATAAACACACCGCATTGTTGGTTTACAAAAAAAAAAAAAAAATAATAAATAAATAAATCAAACAAACATAATCATGTTGCACTACTACATTTCATTTTGATATTATTGTCAAGGGGAAAAAAAACAACAATACATGTTAAATGAGAAACTGAAATATTTTATGACATACTTCAAAATTTAAAGGTGATTTAGTATTCAATTTTTTTTATAAAATGGTCTTACAGTTCATATTTTCAGATTTGTCATAGTATATGTATTAATTATGATTCTTTTACCATAAACCGACATATTAACCATTTGTTAGAATGATATTTTAGAATTATAGGATGTGTTGAAAAAATGCATTGAGTGTGCTATCTAGCAGCATTAGGAGTTAAGAAATTTAATCCAAACAATTTTTTCTTGGTAGGGTAGTTAAAGGGATATTCAAGTTCAAATGTCAAATTAATCAGAATAGGAAAGAGCTTTATTGCCAGGTATGTCCGCACATACGAGGAATTTGTTTTCTTGACAGAGCTTTTATAGAGCAACAGAATTACAGAGACAGGACAAAAAACAGATAATAAATATATAAAAAAGCAGCAAGTAGTGAATGCAAATATTAAAATAGACAGGTGTATGTAGAGCTATTTTACTATACACAACGTTATATGTGCAATTCTTATGTGCAAATTGGCATGTAAAGTGTGTTGTTAAATAAGTGTAAAATAAGTGTAAAATTAACTAATAAGTCTTTTTAGCTAACTTTAAACTGACTTAAAACATCAATCTAAATCAAAAAATATTCTAAAATGTTAGCTTATTTTAATAAGTTTAACCAGAATACAAACAAATGTTGGCTTGATTTAGTGATCATACAATTTTTAAAGTGTACACTGTGAAAAATCAAAAGTCAAGACACCACATTTTAATGTTGCTTTATCATATTTTAATACTTTAATCGGGTTTCTGCAAGGCATGAGCCGGTAAAGGATTCTGATGGTATGACCTTGGATGAAAATATTGGTTTCATGGTATTGTGATTACTGCAGTTAAATATATTCGTTTTTATAAATGTCTGAGTAAAAAACAACAACTTTTTCCTCTTTGAATGAAATATATTTCATTTTGAGAAACATTTAAAATATTTTGGAACTTTAAACATGTCTGGCTAAATAATTAAATTGAATCACAGATTTTGTTATAATTTGAAACAGCATCTTTAGATATCTTTACTGCTGGATGTACTGTTGTACTAAAAAACAAACCAACTAAAGCAGGGGTGTCAAACTCAATTCCTGCAGGGCCGAAGCCCTGCACAGTTTAGTTCCAGCCCTGCTCCAACACACTTACCTGTAGGTTTCAAACAAGCCTGAAGGACTTAATTAGTTTGATCAGGTGTGTTTAATCAGGGTTGGAACTAAACTGTGCAGAGCTGCGGCCCTTTTGGAACTGAGTTTGACACATGTGAACTAAAGCGTAAAACAAAAGTCTTACATATACCGTAGGAATGGTATTTCAGAAAACCTTGGCAGTTTTAAAACCTTGACTTTTCCAAACCACGGAATACCCTGAAAATGGTTAATATCCCTATGCCTAGTTCATACAAAATTGTATAAGTATCAAATATCAAATTTAATTATTTTATTATTGTTTTATCAAAGATATACAAAGTTAACTTAATATGTTTACAGTTTGATTGATGTAAGTTGAGATGACTAGAACAGTACATTTGATTCAACTTAAAAAAATTAAGGCAGCCATATTTTTTGTACCGTGTATAAATCATCTAGAATACTTTGGCGATGGCTTCACAAGTAAAAGTCGAATACATCAAGCAAACTCCTAAAATGTGTTGCGGCAACATGTCTATCCTGATATGCAAAAATAAGTTCAGAGTTTGAAAGGGCTGATAAGGCATTTCATGACTTTATATTGTCATGATTAGTCGTAATCTGTATACAGATATTAGTTAGTATACTGTATACACTACAATTGCTGAGTATTTGCGAATAATCGGCCAGTACCTGTGTCGAGAATAAAATCCAGCAGGTGTCTAGAAGAGTACTGAGCCACCGTTCTCCCCGCATGTCCATCATACACAGCAAAATAGCTCCAGTCTGGAAGTGCATCGCTCATCTCTGGCATGCAAGTGTGGGAATCCTCCATCTGTGCTCGCCAGCCTTGCATACTGGCCATGGCGTAGGTAATGCCCCATTTGGACTCCCCTTCTGCTGAATCTTTCGCCAGAATGGGCCGTTCCAAGTACGGACTGCAAGCGTCCGGATCGTTTTCATAGTAGTCATCATCTGATCCCGAGTCCCTTCTTCCACCCTTGAAAAAGAAGGTCACCATCTTCTCGGTTTCCTTCACCAGCTGCCGCAGGAATGAGGGCACCTCCATGGTGCTGGCGCGCCTGGCGGTTCTCATGGCCACCCTGATCCTCCGGTTCAATCGCCGACTGTTCCTCAAATTCCTCTTTTTGGTCTTCCGAAGATGATCCAGTGCCTCCTGTTGAGTTTGAGCCAAAGAGGAGGGACAATTGGCTGGACAAACAGTGTGCTAATGCGCCTAATTACTTTGGTGTCCTAAATATGTTGTCATTTGCCCACTTGTTCTCTGTTGTTCCAATTGAAATCCATAGGACTCCACTAAAGGTTTGAGGTTGCATGAAGTCTGGGTGTGTTTATCACTTTTGCCAAGCCGTTCCCTTTCGCTGGCCAGGTTCTGATTGGCTAATCTATTTACATCCACTCATCCTCAGACAGTGTTCTGTCTTTCTCTTTGCCTGTACACTCTCAGGTAATCCCTACTTCGTAATGTGCCAGGATTAGTGAGTGTTCACGTATGTACTTGATGAACTACAGTGTTTCATAATGCACACCCAAAGAGGATGAGTGTGATTATCACATGCACTATTGATGAGTGTGCCTGTTTTAGGTCTGGTTTTTAACAATGTTGTTGTCTTACACATTGTACTGCAAATATTGTTTGTAAAAACTTGATATTAGTTTAGTTTTATACCTCTTCATACACTATTTAGATATCTGATACATGGAAATATTTTATATTTCCAAATTACATGACATACAAGTTTATATTCGAATTGTACATTGTTTAAAATATGTCATATATGTAACACAAATCTTTCGCCAGAATGGATATTTCCAAGGACGGACTGCAAGCGTCTGGATCATTTTCATAGTAGTCATCATCAGATCCCGAGTCCCTTCTTTCACCCTTGAAAAAGAAGGTCACCATCTTCTCGGTTTTCCTCACCATCTGCCACATGAATGATGGCACCTCCATGGTTCTCATGGCCACCCTGATCCTTCGGTTCAGTTGAAGTCAGAATTATTAGCCCCCCCGAATTTTTAGCCCCTTGTTTATTTTTTCCCCAATGTCTGTTAAACGGAAATAAGTTTTTTCAACACATTTATAAACATATTAGTTTTAATAACTAATTTCTAATAACTGATTTCTCTTATCTTTGCCATGATGACAGTAAATAATATTTTACTAGATATTTTAAAGACACTTTTTACAGCTTAAAGTGACATTAAAAGCCTTAACTAGGTTAATTAGGTTAACTAGGCAGGTTAGGGTATATATATATATATATATATATATATATATATATATATATATATATATATATATATATATACAGGGCTCAACACTAAAACCCGCCGTGTAAATTTCAGCTTTGGCAGGTTAGACAGTCACTCTCACTAGCCACTTTGGCTTGTTACAAATAATTTTTAAATTGTGATTTTCTTAAAAACAGGGTTCGACTATAAGGAAAACCCAATATACGTGCAAATTTGATCTTAGAATCGAGAAACAGCACGACTAACAAAAAATAATTGCATTCGCACGAGCAATGGGGTATATGCCGAAGCATGCTAATAGGACTTTTAACTTGCCAGTAACCTGGGTTAAGCGCTTCCGGCGAATGGAATGCCAATGCAAAATCCGGTGCGTTTAAGGTCTGTTTTCTTTAAAAATCTGCGATCTCCACTAGCTGAGTGATATCCGATTTAAAGTGGGTCTCAGATTGTACAAGAAGCACTGCATTGAATTACATTTCTCCCGCCATATCTTTATAATATGAGCATTTATTTTACCCCACTATATTCAATGGAGCTTCTGCGTTAGCCTGCCGATTCTGACGGGCGAGTGTGAGTAAACAGCTTTTTGTCTCGTTTTACGCTTAAACAACTAAATGAATGCTAAAGTTAATTTAACTGAATGTATTTTAATGACATTACAACATTGATGCTGTATAAGGAACCGTATAAAATGGAAAAAAGTTCACAATAACAGGTCACCGGAAGTGTATCAGCATGGGAACAGCACTAGCTCGGCATATACCCTATACAAAGCAGGTGAATACTGAATGAGAGGATGATCAGTTGATGAACAGCTGATGTGATGCGCGCGACTGTTTAAAGTGCGTGCGCGCTCCTGTTTCCTTGCTTGAAGCAGCTGTGCCTGGAACGCAATTGTGATCAGTTCTCTTTCACATAGACCAGACAAAAAGTTGTACTCATACACGCACAGTCTTGCTGCTTTCAAGAGCTCCAAAATGCCTTTTTGTAAGCAGCACCGGTTGCTTTCGATTTGAACAGATTATTAATTGGCCTTAATGGTGTGATCTTTCATTATCACACACAGTATGTTTTTCACCTGCTTCCTTTTACTTACGGTTATTTTTGTTTATATGGTTTAATTATCTTTTTTTTTATTTTTTTTACAACATTACTTTAATTTGAGATTAACTCCCCATTTATGAGTAGTTAACTGGTGATCTGAGATCTTTAGCCAGGACAGATCACTGTGCATACATGACAATAATTGATTTTAAAAGTCAATTGTTTTTCTTTGTTTTTTAAAGAAATGTTTTGTTAAATAAAAAGTATAGCATACAGTATGGCTATATTTAGCTTGTTTTTACACATTTAAAATTTTTCACAAAAAGTGAAATGAATGAGGAAGCATGTGGACATAATACAAAATCTAAATCAAGTAATTTGTGGCTAGTCACGTTGGAAAACAACTACCCCCTGTGGCTAGTGATAAAAAAGTTAATGTTAAGCCTTGTGTGTGTATATATATATTGCATATTGTGTATATATATTGCAAGGAAAGCTTTATTAAACCTTTAGGATTACTTTGGCATCAATTTCACAGAAAATATGTTCCAATCTTCATCTAAACCACAACAATAGAAAACACAGTCTACTTAAACTAACCCCACACAGATATTATATGTTTTCAAGTTTTTTTATTGAATACAACATGTAAACATTTACAGTAAAAAGTGGGGAAAGTATGTGAACGTTTGGGTTTAGTAACAAGTTGACCCTACTTTGGCAGCAATAACATCAACCAAACATTTTCTGTAGTTGCAGATCAGAACTGCACAATGCTCCCATGGGGTTTACTATCATTTCTCATTACAAAACATTTCAGGTCAACAATATTTTTGGGATGTCTGGTGTGAATCACTCTCTTTAAGCCACTCTCACTCTCAAGCCACAGCATCTCAATCGTGTTGAGTTCCGGGCTGTGACTGTGACTGCCACTCCAGAAGGTGTATTTTTTTTCTGTTCAATCTAATCTGTTGTTGATTTACTTCTGTGCTAATGGTATGCATGTCCTGTTGCAGTACATCTATCATCCTCTGCTGAGCTTCAGTTGGTAGACAGATGGAGTTAAGTTTTCCTATCAAATGTCTTGATAAACTTTGGAGTTCATTTTTCCATTGACAACAGCAATCTGTCCAGGCCCTGATGCAGCAAAGCAGCCCCAAAAGCATAAAAATATAAAAATGTTTCTACTGTTGTGAATTTTTATACATTTCTGTAAAATCCATAAAATCCCGCAGGGTTTACATACTTTTTCTTGCAACTGTATGGCCATTTTTCAATATATGATATATGACCCAATGTTTAATATATTTAAGATCCAAATATAAACGTGTATATCATATATGTAAATTGCATGTGTCAGAAATCTATGCAGTTTTTTTTTACTTCACAAACCATTTTTTTCTTCCTTCTCTTCAGAAACCATCTTCTTACTGTCTGATTGACAATGAGAACCCACATTCTACTAATACAGTGTTGTATGGTTGTACAGCCAATCCAAATGTCACCTGAGGTAATTGTCCTTATGAATGGTAGGAACTGTCGTGCTTTGGAAGACCTAGTTCTTGGAAGGATTGCAGATTACCTGTATTTAAGTAGTGTAGGTGTGTGACGTTTGGACTTGAGCCATTCATACACAGACTGATTAACATGAGTAAGGTCATTGCAAGACCCTGACACTCAAACCTGCATGTCTGTAGTTAACAGGCATAGTCAGTTTTTTCAGACAATATTTATGAATGAAAATATCTAATCAGCCAGTCGTATGGCAGAGTGGTTTATAAAGAGTGCAGTATATGCAGTAAGTGGCAGTTCTGTGGGTAAAAATACATGTTAGAGATCAGTAGAAAATAGCCAAATGAGTTCAAGATGAGGAAACAGTGACTCAAATAGCAACCTTCTTCAAAAAAGGTCTTTAAAAGAACTACTATGATTGCATGGCATGTCCAACCATGAAGCAGATGAGTTACAGCAGCAACAGCAGAAAAAGAAGACAAGGACAGCAGTGACACTCAGATAAGGTGTGAGGGTTTATGAGCATCACGAGAGTCATGGACTGGAGCAGGTTCTGCGACAGAGGAGCACTGTGCATCAGACATACAGTAGGATGGCAATCCCCAAAATGGGCAGAGCAGATGACAGTAAAAGACTTTCTGACACTTGTATCTGCAGTGTGGACACAGTGACATTAGAGAGCAAGAGCTTGGCAGTGGTTGTGGAGCGTGAGTGGCAGCATTGACAGCAAAATACTCTGGATTGTGTATATATAGTGACTGAAGCAAACCGTGAATAGGATGATTTAAATGCAATTACAGCTTAAGCAGCAAAAGTAATGGGAAAGGTCATTTCAGATGTATTGCTGATGTGAAATGGTTGTGGGGAGTGGAGAACATGAGTCTGATTCCAGCGACGCTCCAGGGACAGACGAGTCTTTGCTGAGGCCATCTTCCAGCCTCAACCACGGCGAATGAAGCTCTGCACAAGACTTTTGGCCAGCGGAGAAATTAAAATGGTCGTGCCCAACTGAGTCTGGTTCTCAAGGTTTTTTTTCTTCACTCCCATCAGGTGAAGTTTTTTTTTTTCCCTCTCCACTATCGCCACTGCCTCGCATGGTTCAGGATTGGTAGAGCTACGCATCGATGAATTTGCTCTTCAATGTTTGAACTCTCAGTAATAATTAAATCACACTGAACTGAGCTAAACTGAACTGAACTGAACTTAAACACTAAAACCTGAACCACACTGTTCCAGTTACTATGACCATTTATGTGAAGCTGCTTTGACACAATCT